AGTTTTTAAGGTAATAAATCTTTTTTTATATGAAATATAATTCCGAATTTTTCAGAAATATACATAATATTACATTTACTTTATGCAAGACAAAAAAAAAAAAAAAAAAAAAAAAAAATTTATTTTATATACTTTTATATACCCATATATTTTTACATGTTTAGTGAAAAAAAAATTTATAAATAAAATCTTTAGATATTTGTAAAAAAATACATAAATTTTTTTTTATAAATTTTTCTTTATATTTTTTATTTTTAAAAAAAAATTTAATTTATATTATATTTTATAATGGAATATTATAAGTTTATTTAACTATTTTAAAATTATATATATTTCATATTAGTGTTATCAGTGGTTATGTATCATATATATAATTTTTTATTACACAATTTATAATTTGCGTTTCATTATAAACATTAATTTATAAATATATATTCATTTATTTTTATTTTTTTTTTTATTTTTTTTATTTATAAAATTTTATATTAATTGGTAATAAAGTTAGATATTAACTTCACTTTTTAAAATATATTAAGATAAATTTCTGATAATTCATATATAGGTATATATGTTTTTTTTATATCTCAATATTTTTTATAATTTTTTTTTTCTAAAGCATTTAATGTAATTTTTTAACAAAATAATTTATATATTTATATTACAAGAATTTTTTTTTTTTTTTTGTAATATTATTATACTTATTAAGAAAATAATTGTTTTAGCTTATAAGTAAATAATACATATATTTATTAATGAAAGAATTATTTAAAAAAAAAAATAAAAATGCATAGTACTATAAGAGAAAAACTGTATTTTAATCTTATACGAAAAATTTCACAAAAGAATTCCATTAATGATACTTTATTAATTTTATTTTCAATGATGAAATGAAAAATTTTTGACAAGCATATGTCTGAAATAAAATTTGATGATATTTAGTATCTGAGAAAATAACATTAATAAGAAAACATAAAGTTCAAGTAGAACAATGTGGATATGTTGAAATATCTAAAGAATACATAAAATATTTACATATTCACCTATATATATATGATAAAAGTTATGAAAAAATAACTTTTTAATGTATCATAATATATTATGCATAAAAAATTAATTTATAATTGTATAATAAAAAAAAAAAAAAAAAAAAAAAAAAAAAACAGAAAAATATAACTTATTATTTTAATGAATAATAATACTTAAACGTTTATGTAAAACATAATTTCGCACGTGACAATAAAGTCACTCCGGTGACAATAGTCGCTCATGCGACACCATTTTTTTTTTTTTTTTTTTTTTGAATTTTTACATTGTAACAACTTTTATTATATATTTAATGCCTCTGCCTTTTTATATATATATATTTTTTTTTTTTTTTACTTTAAAATTATAAAGCTTAATTATTATTTCATAATTTCCTTTAATAATATCAATTACCTAAAAGTATAAATATATTTTAAAAAAATCTTTATTGACATTGGAAAAATATCTACAGAATCTGAAATAAATTATATATATTAAAAATTGTAATTAGTAAGAGTTTTATATTTCTCTATGGAACACAATGCATATGGAATTTAACAAAAAATACATATGCAAATATTATATAAGATTTTGAAAAAATATTTTACGTTATAACATCGAATTAAGAAAATTTTTGTAAGCTTGTAAGTATGATTTATTTTTTCTCCATAAAATTGTCATTTTTTTTAAGGTATTTAAATTAATAATGAGGAAATAAATGAGAGAATGATAACCTATTTAAATTATTAAAATATATTCTAAGCAATTTAAATAGATTACTTTGATTAATTTATCTTAGATATTTTATTTTTCTTGAAATTGAATCAAGATATTTGGTATTACATGATATTTATAGTTAAAATAATTATATATCCTACAATGCATACTTTATAATTTGTATAATTGTGATTGCTTTGTTTTTCATTTAGCTATTTTTTTTTTTTTTAAAATATATTTATTGTATCTATAAATATTTTATTATCATCTTATTAAATTAAAATTTAAGTTGAAATAGATTTTTCTATTATTTGGAAATTCATTTGACTTATTCAATGGAAGATAGAGCAAAGCAAATGTTTGTTTTATTTATTCTTATTAAAGAATAATGCTATATATTGAATTTTTATAAAAGATTATATTAAAAGCTTTTATTCTAAAATATACATTTTAATTATTTAAGAAAAAATGATTGAAGAAATAACATACATTCGAATATTTATATCACATAAAATGGATTATAAAATTTTATGTTTATATATATATTTTTTATTTGCCAAACAAAAAAACTTAATATAAGAATGCATATAAAAAAAGAAAAAATTTTAAACAAATAAAATCTTTTATCTTAAAAAATCTTTTCTTGTTCCTATTAAATATAGAATTATAATATTAAAAGAAAAAAATTTTAAGAATATTGTAATTTATTTAAATATATTTCTTCAGTTAAAAATGTTAAGATTGATATTTTATGTAATAAAAGATAAAAAATAAAGTTTAAGCCTAAATATATGAATGTTTTATTTAAGGAATGTCTATACGAAACAAATTGAACGATAATATAAAATATAACTTCTTAGAGTATCATAAAAAAAAAATCTTATTTATGAATTGCAAAGCAAATTACTGTATTTTTACTCTTAATTATAACTAGGAATACTTTTTTGTTTTTAATAAAAAATAAGATATACAATAAATTTTCCTATTCTAGAACTTCTTTCTTTTTTGATTACATTTTTATTTTTTTAATCAAGTAAAATACCATTTATTCTTTCTTATTTTATCAGGAAGCTATATATATATATATATTTTAAGGTTCTTACGTAACACATATTCATGTATCATCACAGTAGGAAATTTTAGTTGCATAAATATATATATATATATATAGATTGAAGAAATAATGAGATAATTAAATATTAGTTGTTTACTAAAAAATCGTAATTATTGAATACATTTTCTTTTGAATGATAGTTTTAGTTCAACATATGCATATGTTTTCCTGTTAATAAATAATGAAGTGCAATTATAAGTAAAAAAATTTTATTCAAGTATATTGATTTATTGGCTATTTAATGATTTTCAATAAATGTTAAACAGATAATAAAAAGCATGTAGAGATATTTCTACCTGCTTAATTCATCAAACATCAATTATTTTAAATAATAATTAATTTACAAGTTATGCTAAATAATTTAAAACAAAATTCATTTTATATTAAAGTAAATTTTAACTATATATATATATCGTTTTTCATCCGTTTATTAACATCAATTCATTATATATCCCTCATTCAAGTTTATATACGCCGATCAAATAAATTATTATCTTACACTGCACACTATATATAAAAAGAAAAGATTAAAAAAAAAAAAAAAAAAANATTAAAAAAAAAAAAAAAAAAATTTCATCTTTCTTTAGTGAACATACTGAAGATATAATACAATATATATACTTCACTATAATCAAATTTAGACTCTTACACTTTAATGAAATTTTTTCTTCAAATAAATGAAATACATAATTAAACTTTTAACTACATTACATTACTTAATAAATATATAAATAGATTTATGATACTAATTATAGATCAAAAATGTTATTTAATGATTAATTATTTAGATAAAAACATTCTTCTGAAATATACTAAAAAACAAAAAACATTTTCTTTGTGTGTAATGCTGATAATTATTTCTGCAATTTTATTTTAATTATAATAATTTTTTATCAGAATATTAGTTTATACATGATGAATGTTAATAATTTTATTATTAAGATTTTATAATAATGAATGATATTATATTAATTTACTATGAAATGTCCGTAAATGTTGAGTATTTAAGTTTTAATAAAAATAAATGAAAATTTATATTGAATTATATGTGTATATTATATACAAATTGTTGTATTAAGAATAATGAAAGAATTGGATCAATATATTTTCATATGAAAAAAATTATTTATTTGAGGTTATGTACTATAATTATAGATTATTGTAGATTTACAAAAAGTATTTTTGCAATAAATGAAATTAGTAAAGATCAATATAAATATCCCTTCTTAATTCATTTGTTCAGTAGTTTATTAAATTCAATGAAAATCTAATTAATAAATTACATTGCTGTTCTACAAATAATTATATTAAAGGAAATGATTATTTATAGCACAATAAAAATTTTATGAAATTAAGTTATGGTAAATTATTTGAAGAAAAATAGTTATACAAAGGTATATAAAAAAAATATCAGTAGAGTTGCATATAACTCTTAAAAAATTTTTACATAACATATTATCTTTTTATAATAATATAATACTTTAATTTTTTCTATAATTGGTTAATAAAAGTAATTATTAACCTTTTTGAGAATAAAAAAAATAATAGTATGGAAAATAATTAGTTTCCTATTTAAGCAATAGAAAAAAAAAAAATTAAATCAATTTTTTTTTTTGTTTTCTTTCTGTAAATTTTGGAACAAAAAAATATATATATTTTTTTTAAGCGTATTTTATATATAGTCAAAATTTGGAAGAAAGAATTGTTGACATAAAGTTTCTTATAGTATTTTTTTTTGTTTAATTTTATATAAAAAAATTTTATATTAACAATTATAAAATTTTCGTATATTTTATGTAGTATTCATATTATTTATTTTTCATTATTTTAATTATTTACAATATTCAATGAAGCAAACTACACAAATGAAGTTTACTTGTATAAGCACTTAAAATTATAAATAAATTCATTAAATTAGTAGATGTTACTTTACACGTTCTTTATTAATTTGCTCGTTCAGTACTCTAGCAAATTAACTGAGGAGGCAATTAATAAATTATCAAGTTGATAAGTTTAAATGAAAAAAAAAAATTTTTTATAAAGTTAAAACTACATAATACATTAAAAGGAAAAGTGTTGAAATGAAAACATACATCAAATTTTTATATTTTTTGTTAAAAAAAAAATTATATGTAAGAGACATTTTTCATAACAAATTAAAATTTAATTATAATATATTAATTGATGCATTTTATAGGAAAAATATCTATTTACTAAATTATTTTTATGTAAAAATGTATTCTACTACAATTTTTTTCTATGTATGTTTTTTTCATAACTTTTTATAATAAAAAAAAAAAAAAAAAATTGAAAATAAGTCTCTAATAAGTAATTTTAAGGAAAATATTATGAAAAAATGGTGATTTTAATGTTTAAAAATCATAAATTATAATATTCATATTTAATAAAAAATTGTTTTTCATTTCTTTCCTTAAATATAAAAAATCTTTTTGTTAAAATTTTGTATTTTATTAAATTAAAAATTTTTTACATATGTATGTATATAATTTTGAAAGTAATTTTAATATAAAATTATATAAATTTATTTTTTATTTTTAATAAATTCATTTTTTATTATATACATTTTATGGTTCAGCTAATTATACGAAATATACTACGAGTGCATTTTTTATGTTTTTACCAATTAGTACATATATATAAATGCCCTACGAAAAAATACTGCTCATCGCAAAAGATATTACGGAAA